CCTTCATCACCTTTGGAGGCCATTAGGACCCTCCTCGCTTATCGGCTACCGCCTCATTATTCTGAGCGCCAAGCACGAGAGGAGTGGAGAGATATAGTCGAAGGAAGGAGCATTCTTTGGAATGGGATTCCAACAGATCGCAAGGAAACTATTCGTGGTATGTATGAATTCGCTTTTACAATTATTTTCACTCTCCACAACCACGTAGGTTTCTTGGTATACTTTGAGAGTGAGTTGCTGAAGCGCGCACACAAAAATTTCACTTTCATCAATGGAAGGTAAACAATGCCATGCTATTAGAGGCTCTTGGGATTGACGACTTCAGTATTGGAAATTACTTCCTCGCCGCGGCTCAAGGATTCTTTCGCTCTCTTCCCTCAGCGATATTCTTGTTTTCTTCTATCACTAATAGCCAAGCTAATATACTACCCGTGATTGTGACCAATCATACGGTATGTATGGGGCTCGTTTTCTTCTACCATTAACAGCCAAGCTAATATGCCTGTGACAAATCGTTAGGTTACTATTGCTGTCGAATTGGTGCGCTTTCTCTCCCGCTTGATACGATTAACTTCAAGTTTATCCACAGGAGGACGGAGAGAGAATCATTGGACAATGTGATATATCCCACCCAGTTGCGCAGATCCCTGAGATTAATCTCGAAGATTCCAATGAAGAATGGTCTCCACTGGAAAATCATCAACAAAATGTTCTGTTTCAGGCTGAGGGCAAGAAAGATTATAAACCTCTAAGCTCTCGTATCCACAGTGAGCTAGAAGTGAACTCGCAGACCCCGGTGCTTAATTGTCTTTATTATGATAGGGCTGTTCTACATAAATGCGTATGGCATCGAGATACACCCCTCACCCAACCCAGAATATTTATCCAGCCTCAGAACCAGCAATGTATTGGTGTATTCTTGTGGTTCGCTTTGGACAAGGTTGGGTCCAATTTTTAACATCCTCGTTTGAGGCTCACGAAGATGTTCAGTATCATACCGTGCTTGGCCCTACGAGGGGTGGCCCGCGAAATTGCTGGTTCTGTTTCGCTTCGGGCAAAAATCCTACTGCGTAAGCTATCTCTATGCGAGATGGCGCTTAACTGACCACCTGCCAGTGAATGTCGAAAATGACAGAGAGACCACTGGATACTCTGCTGTTGATTATGTACAGTACGCGTTTTTTCTTTGATTAGGATTCTCGTTTTGACATCCACCGCAGAGCTATAGCCCGCACCTTGAATAGCCAGTACCAGCCTCAACCAATCGGTTTAGGCAATGCGAGCACCATGTATCCTATTTCGGCCTTCGTCACCGATGTTCTGTATCTGAGAGGTGGCACAATCTCAGTCGATGAGGATAAAATTACTGTGAGCACATCCTAGCTGTTCGGTTTGACTACAAGTAATTGGTTCTCGATAGGCCCTCGGTGTCAGATGCACAGAAGTGATTCCTGAAGAGCATAGTGGACTTCCTAGATTTACTGCTGATACGATGAAGACCGCAATCGAGGAGATTTTGACTCGCAATGTCTAGAATGGCCGTTTATGACCAGACAGCTGCTAGCCTTAAATAAATTGTAAATATTTGTAGTATGTATTATACGAACGAGGAACTCTGAGTTTTTGACTAGAATTCTCAAATTGCCTTTTGCTTGTGTTACACTGTACTTTCGTCTGCACGGTTATGAAGGCCGAGCCAAATCGCCGCGATCATCGATGGCTCGGTAAGTAGACCTTTAGACGCCAGGCGCTATTCTTCTCTTACCACAACACCCTCTGTGAGACTGCGATTCCAAATCACTGCAATACGATATTCGAGGACATTAACGACTTAACGAAATGGCTACCAGTGCATCTCAGGGGCAATATCAACCCCCACCCGGGCATCTTGGCAATCTCACCGCTACGCAACAATCTGCCCTCGACCAGCTGAAGAAGGAATTGAAGGAACAAACGGATACCACATTTATGTTGGAAGGAGAGGATGGGTTTGTAGAGACTAGAATGGGTGATTCTGGACTCCTGCGGTAGGACGATCGCGTAACGATTGCGAGCTGTACATCTAAATGCTTTGAAAGGTTTCTACGAGCACGACGGTTTGATGTTGCAGCAGCCAAAACTATGTGGCTAGCAAATGAGAAGTGGAGGAAGGATTTCGGTGTGGAAGAGATTGTCCAGTGAATCCTGTCTCTTGAAACATAGCGCGCTCCAACTAAAAATATGCACAGGAGCTTTGACTACAAGGAAAAGGCAGAGGTAGATAAGTATTATCCTCAGTACTACCATAAAGTAGACAAGGTGTGCATCGTTTCTCATTAAGCTATTCAAAGCGCTCATATCACAGTTCAGGATGGACGCCCGATCTACATTGAACGACTCGGTTCCCTGGACATCAATGCTCTCTACTCCGTCACTACTGCAGACCGTCAACTTAAACGTCTCGTATACGAGTACGAAAAGTCCATGACTGAGCGTCTACCTGCATGCTCAACTCTCGTCGGACATCCAGTCACGACTTACTGCACAATCCTCGACCTCAAAGACGTGTCTCTCCGTAATTTTTATCGCGTCAAAGACTATGTAATGTCCGCTGCATCGATAGGCCAGGACCATTATCCCGAGACCATGGGCAAGTTTTACATTATAAACGCGCCCATGTTGTTCACAGGTGTATGGGCCGTTGTCAAGCCTTGGTTAGATGAAGTGACAGTGGCTAAGATTCAAGTTCTGGGATCGAAGAATAAGGACGTTCTCCTGGGTCAGATTCCAGAGGAGAACCTGCCTAAAGGTCTTGGTGGATCTTGTCAATGCCCTGAGGGATGTTCGATGAGTGATGCGGGACCTTGGAAAGCTTGAGTTTAGTTTACATCGTATTTCTAGTACATAGTCGCTATTTTTTGACGAATATCACAGCATGTTGGTTCAAGTAATCTGAGTATACAAAACCTCTCAGAGTCGAATTATGGAGTTGAGATGAGAAAAAGCACTGTTGATTATTTTGACAGGAAAGTTTATAGAGAGCTCCACCTCGCCACTAGATATATAATAATTTAAGGGCAGAAAACGATAGTAAAAGCAATGTTTCCAGGGCCGCAAGCACGGACGGCAGCATCGTCGCCACAAGGAGTGTCGTCCTAAAACGAAATGAGTTCAACGAGTATCCCGCGGCGAAGTATAAACTTACCTGAGATCCGGGAGGGAAGGCGTCGTCGCACTACAAAAACAGTCAGTGCCATGAACATATTTACGAATATCGAGCTCACACTGCAGTCCACGTTAGTGCAACTAACGGTATCACAGCCAGCAGCTTCAATCTCGATAGATTGAGTAAAACCCTGGATGTTGGATATATCGTAGGCTTGGGCAGTGAATGCACTACCAGTGTCTGCGCGGGGAAACCCCAGAGATAAGTACTGTGACCGGATTCGGACAGCGTATTCAACACGTACCCAAGTTGAACTCGGTGATAGTACAGTCTTCACCACTGGCACCGCAGGCACCATTCTGATTAAAGATGCGGCCGACCCACTAATCAAAGGTATAACGGTGTATCAATAAGGCGGATGAACCGAGATTATTGCAAGCGACGTACGTCAACGGGAAGAGTCACGACCTCACTTGCACCAGGGGTCAGGACTCCAGGTTGAGCACCCGCTATTCGCGGTAAACGCGGTCAGCAAGGAGAAGATGAAGATGAGTTGGGGAAACCCACTGTAATCAGCAGCACCGGCGCAACCTAGTCGGTGAAGCACATGAGCCACGATGTGAGAGTAATTTTCTGGCAATGCTACGTACGCGGGCTATAACCACATGCCGTGTTGGCAATAGTAGGGGCAACATTAGACGAACACTGGTTAATGAGGGTGAACTGGAAAGAGAAATATTAGTCTGAGGTGTGAAATTGAGGCAGAGAGAACGACGCACGGCGTGCTGAGCAGAAACCAACGAAGAGGCGGAAGCCAGAGCTGAAAGGAGGAAGAGCTTCATCATTATGGTTTTCGCTTCGAAGGAAAGGCTCTATACAGTGACCCGAACGGTACGTATGAAGAATGGTAAAAACCTTTCCCTTCTAACTGCACCTTTATACGCGCCCTTGCATTGAGACCAATTCCAAATTTCTTTTGAAGAGTTTCGCAGAAATAACCGAAAAGGCTAGACATCGCTGCGTAACCACACGACACCGCTGGCGGGGGCACATGGTGTGCATATACATGATACTAGCGAATTCTATAGCGGTCAGTCAGTAAGTATAAGACACTGCGAGGTTTGATCAGAATATTGTCACTTCATCAAAATAAAACCGTCCCGACTACAAAATCGTGGTTTTAACTTTGGAATTATACACTATAGATTTTTGACACCGGCGGTTTTGCGTATGTTACCACTGCGATGTTGAATATACTCACAAGGCACATGGTTTGAGCAGAATCACGCTGAGAGAGAGACACTATTCAAAGTTGAAACTTGTAGATGAATGGGCGAGACTAGACAAGACGAGGTGGAATTGGAACTTTACAGCGCCTACGTTTCACTGTCAAGGCCTAACGAGACCGTGACCTAGTTAAAACGTTTTCACTCCAATAGTTATATTGATATTCAACAGCAACATCGTAGCGGCGGGACCTTGAACAGTCTGAAGCACATTGAATCCAAGCGGCGTAGCATGCATGCTTCGACTGATTATGGTATGAGCATGCTGGAGAGGGAAAGAGTCCAGCCCAATCGCTAAGCGGCCTTGAAATCCATCTCCTGCAGAGCTCTGTCAGTTGAGCGTCCGGTTCAGAAGGCTGGGTCTTGAATTCTTCCTGCCAGCGGTCGATGTTCTCGTTAATCAATAGATTCGAATATTATGAGAAAAAACAGTTCATAATAGTCCAGTCGCGCTAGTCAATCGGAGTGGATTCTTTAGATTAGGTGAAGGTTGAAGAGGACCATCTTTAAAAGCGTTCAACTTTTAGTAATCTAAAGTGATTTGGATAATTTTGATAGCCAATGCCCTGACACCGTTGGTGAAGTGGTTATCATGCTTGCCTTCCAACTCACGAGAAGATTGTAAAGCAAGCGGCTCGGGTTCGATTCCCGAACGGTGTACTACGAGTTGTGCATCTCTTTTTAATCCTGTTAGTATCTATTCTTACGATATTCAATCCTTTGTCTACATACACAATACTTGGTACATACATATTTCATTCGCCGCAGTGAATACTTTTGATTTTTAAACAAACAAAGAAAAAACATGAAAGATGAAACACACCAACTACTTGTATAAGAAAGGAAATAAATAACGCGCGTATGTGCTTAAGATGATAGAGCAGGAAATTGAGTCAACGTCCACGTCAAGTAAGTAAGAAAGGCGATACAGAAAGGAACAATTAAGATATATACATATGTCTAGATATACGAGGAAAGAAAAAGAAACAACGTGTAGGTATAGCGAAAGCGCAAAACCACCGCAACAACAAGAGCACAAACAAATTATGATAGCATTCCCTACATAATAACACACTTTTCATCCTCCACTTTCGCACCCGTGAATCCCATTTCCGCAAACGTCTGAGGACCTGGCGGCTTCGGTGCGGGCGGGGCACCATTATCCATGCCAGGTGGTGCGCCCGCTGGTCCATTAGGCCCCGCATTTGGTGATCCTGCGTACCCTCCTCCAGGTCCTCCTGGCCCGGGAGCCGGCGACCCCGCCCCACTCGCACCCCTCCTCATAGGCGGCCTTCCCGCCGCTCTCGAAGGAGATCTCGAATCTGCTCTGGGAGCTAGTGGACTACCAGACGAAGCGGACCCAGACCCGGGGTCGACGAGGGTATATCTGTTTGCGTTGGGGAAGGCTTGGGCTTGTTGGCCAGGACGACGGGGGCCAACGCCTGGGCCAGACCCAGGGAGAGGTTGGGATTGGGCGGACATTGGGCGGGGACCTGTGTGGAAGGGAGGATGTTAGTTGGATGAAGGGAAGAGAAGGAAGAAATTTGAATGAAAATTGAAACAGAAATCGAAGAACGAACGAAAGCCAAACTCCAAAAACGATGGGACTCGAGCTCGAACAATAAAACAACAATCTCCAACGAAAACATACTCTTCAAACCACTCACCATTATTCCCTGGATAGGCTCCAGGTATACTGGCACCAGGAGGCAAGGTCCCTGCATGTACAGGTCTCCCTTGCCCTTGTTGCTGATAATTCGTCAACGTATTCTTCCTGATCAACTCGACCACCGGTCTCGAATCCTGCGTTTGTCTTCTCGGACTAGGGCCTTGCGGGAGACCCGGACCAGGTCTGTAAGGGCCTTGCGGAGGCGGCGATAGCCCCTGCTGTGGACCCTGCGGTGGCCCCTGCTGAGCCATATACCCATCCCTAACCTTCTGAGCCTCACTCCTCTGTTTCGCCTGCGTCCTAGTCCTCACAAGCTTACTCTCTGTAATATTATCATGTTCCATCCTCGACAGCATCTGTGTGGTACCATCCGGCTGTTCTAACGCACCAAGCCTCTCCAATGCATCGGTATTCGCATGGGCAGAGGCCTTGCGATACCACGCAATAGCCTCATCCAAATCCTTCACTCCGCCAATACCCACTTCGCAATAATACCCCATGGCAAATTCCGCACTGGGCAAGCCCTTGCGAGCGGCCTTTTCAGCGAATACACGCGCGAGCTGTTCGTCCTTGTCGAATCCGCCTGCTGTGGGATCGAATGGCGCGCCTGTGCCGTCTGCACCGCCGACGCGGGAACCACATAGGAACCATTTGGAGAGTGCCATATCAGCTTCTGTTTCGCCTTGCTGGCTGGCGCGGGAGTACCATTCTACACTCATGAGGGCATCGAATTCGAATGGGGGAGTGGCGAATTCGTAGGCGTGGCCTAGCTTGTATTGTGCGGGGGCAAAGTGGAGGTAGGCGGATTTTTCGAGGTGGGTGCGGGCTTCTTGGAGGAGGCCAATGTTCCCGCCGGAATGAGCCCACTGCGCTGGGATCAAGCCCAGCCTGAAAAACAAGGCTGGGTCGACTTGTAATTGTGTAAACTCGCCCAGCAGGAGCAAGGCATATACATAGGCCGGCTGAGGGGTATCGATGGACGAAAGCAGGGCAGCTCGATGTAACAGTGGTAATGCAGTCTCTGGAGACGAAGGAAGGGTCAACTGACCCAATAGCTGGGCCATACCCAGGACGATAGAGGCAACTAGCGACACCAGCTCTGACCCCACGCTCAAAGCACTCTTTGGCATGCGGCATGTCCCCAAAGCCCTCATAATCTCTGCCGATGCGAAACCAGGCCTTGCCATAGCCAGCTCTCGCAGACTGCTCGAAATCGCGAAAGGCTTGACGAGGATTGCGTTGGATGTGTTCGGGGAAGGCACCAGAGGCGGTGAGAGAGGCGCGGTGGTAGAGTGCTTCGGCGATGTGTGCGGGGAGCGTCGTCCCTGCTTGTGCACCATCAGCGATTTGGAGGATGATGGGGACAGCGACCTGGGTCAGGCGTAGCAGCTGTGGATCGTGGATCGTGACAGGACCGACTTGGGGTTCACCGAGAGCTGAGCCGCCGGCTTGGGCACTGGCTCGGTCGACGAGGAACAGCACGTCTCGTACCCAGGCTACCCGCAGAGCTGGATCGTGGGACGGGTTTTGTATGGTGGGCAGGGCAGCGGATAGAGCGGGAATCGTTGGAAGGGGAGCCGTTAGTGATGGTGGGTCGTTGGAGCCATGAGAAACGTGATTGCTCAGTGTTGGCGCAGGGCTAACCGCTCTGAGATTATTTTGTTGTATAGGTGCCATCGTCATCGATGAGGGATTGTAGTTTGGGAATGGGAGAATGGATGGAGCTGGACTTTGCGATGGATTGTGCGGAGGGGTTGGAAGAAGGCTCTGCTGCCATGGTGCTTGTGGTCCAGGAATATTGAACCCTCCTGGGTGATATGCGGATTGAGCCAGTTGTTCATCCAAGTTGCGAGCCATCTATACAGAATTAGTTTATCGAATTCCGTCCATTCGAGACTTACATTCTTGGGTATATCTGGATCGATTTTAGTTGGTTTCGGAGCAGCCAATGGATCTTCAAAGTGAGGGCCGCTGCTATTAGGATATTGAGGTGGTGGTACCGAATAAGGATTCATAGACGCCCAATGTTAGTTGACAATGACTCTCGATGCTTTTGCTTTGCCTTGGCAGTGGCACTGACAGCCGTACGGTACGCGTATGTAACCGTTGGCTGTTGGCTGTGATATCGATGGTGGATGATTTCACTGCCCCGATTCTCGCTTGGGCGCCGGCGCTTACTAGCCTAACCTTTGCCGCCCACCCTGAACGTTTCATTTTCTCATTGGTGTATCATTCATTTATAACCTTTCTCAGTGGAAGCAGGTGAAGCATCTGATTCCAGCCACTCAACCCGTCCATCTGCAGATGCTTGCGTGTCTGTCAGTATTCTGAATCTCATTCTGTCCTGTCAAAAATCAGCTGCGCGCCGCTGTACAGCACTTGCTAACTCATGCGTCGGTTAGTATCAATATTACTGACGGTCGTAACGTCCGTTAAATATATATATGAGGCATTCAACATTCAATACTCGATGAGCCTCCGTTATCCATGTTCCTCGACGCGCCGCGACCGATACGATGCAGGTGCGCATGTAGATCCTAGCGTTTAATCCTTAATCTTCGAGTCTATTCCGATGCAATGCGGACGCTGAACTGACTCGGAGTATCCCAAACAGAAACCAATGGCATTTCCGGATATCCGTTCGCTGTTGCTGCTATCCGCAGCTTGCCTCTGCCTCTGCTTGAGAATCAGAGACCTCCTTCCTAGGCTTAATCAGGCTCGGTGACTTGCGGGACCAAGTATGCTATACACATTGCTACTCAGCACTTTCGGACTCGCCTCACTGGCAGCTTAAGGATTTCAACCACTACTAGTGCTTTACTAATACAAAAAAATTTAGGTAGAAAACCAATGTCACAGTGACCGATATAATACCTGCGAATGGAGGCTCGAGACGGGAGATAACTTTCACGCTTTCACGGCCGATACGATGCATTACTCTCGAGTCTAACCATCTTCCCCACCCTCTGTTTACTTCCCTTTGTTATACTCGGACCAGGACTCTAGCCTCAAACCAATGCCCTACAGTGCCCTTGGTAGGAGTCTATATCCCCCCGAGTCTCCCGTTGAACACTGGACACTGCGCAGCTACTGTAGTACTACGCACCGGATGCATCCCGACGGATACTACTCGGATAAGTACTCGGAAAACTTGCTTGCGTACTATCACTGGACACCAAGTTCTGAATCTCAAGCATCTCGAGCCTCTCGTTCACAACTTATTATCATTTAATAACCGCAGTAACAGTACTTTCCAGCAGTTGCTTAGCTAGCATAGGATGTACATATGTCAGCCTTCACTGGTGTTTGCATTTCAGATCCAAACCTGAAGGCGGAGGCGGGAGATATGTCACGACCGATACTACTCTGAGCCGTCTTCGCGGGTACTAGTAGTCCCCCCAAAAAATCTCGGGAACCGTGCTAGAGAACTTTCAGTGCATTTTTTTTTATATGGTGAGGACCCGGCCCCAATGCAATGCAATGCGGCTTGGTAGTAATCTACGTCCCCCAGTCTTCCATTGAACACCTTTACTTACACTGGACACTGCGCAGCTGCTGTCGCCTCTATGCATCCAGACCTGGAGGCGGGAGATATGTCACGACCAAGTATGCATGAATCCGACCGTGTTCCCGAGTCCCTACCAAAAAAAAACTCGAGAGATCTCATTATTATTAATATTCGTACTGTATTTCTCCCAAGTTAAATAAAGTTCCAACTCGGATTCCCAGTCCATTTCAGAAAACACCGATGCTGGAGCGATACGCATCTATTCCTTAGACATCCTCTACAGAAGTAAAGAAATACAGATACATACTAGATACAGAACTCATAGCAAAAAAAAATGAAACAAAAGTATACTCTCTCCATGCATCGTTGTACAAAAAACAAGAATAAAACAAAAATAAATATTGAGATCCGTAGATCTACCACTCCGGAAAAGCGTGTCATCCTTGTGCAGGGGCCATGCTAATCTTCTCTGTATCGTTCCAA